GAGATGAGTGGCTCTAGTTTGTTCAGTTCATGATAAAAGTCACTGATTTTATTAGGTGGTGGATGGGGTAGATGAGTGGTTATCATGTCCAAATTGAATGTTGTTATTAAAGTAGGATAAAGTTATTAAATTTGTATCCCAAAGTTTTTGTACCTCACTTGTACACCGTAGATTTGCACTAACATTTTGAGTTGGTGTAAAAATATTTTTTTAAAACACCAACACTTTGTGCACGTGTAAATTTTTGTTAACGCACTAACATATGTGTCAATATAAACTATCAAAATAGTTTTGTATAACTATTTTAGATGAACAGTTACAAAAGTCAAAAGTGGACAAAATGAGTGGGACGGAGGTAGTATAATATTTGGTGTAAGTATAGCGTAGTCCATTAAAGTATTATTATTACTCAATATAAAAGTAACATGTATTCAGGTACATGTACTGTTAAATATACCGATAATTAACAATATCAAATGTACTGTTACATATAACAATAACCCGGTTTATGTCTGAGATGTTACCAAGATAACCAAACCCCCTTTCTTTTAGATGTACCGACAACCGGTCTAGCTAACTCAATCTTGAGTCGTTCACGAATACTTAACAATATCAAATGTACTGTTACATATAATGATAACTCGGTTTCTGTTTGAGATAGATGCATGTGTTAACAAGGTAACCAAACTCTTCAACTGTTACATGTACTAGCAAACTAACTCAATCTTGACTCCTTCAAGGATAATTACGAATATCAAACATACTAAGAGTTGTTGTTGTTGGAAGAACTGTTACATATAACAATAACTCGGTTTCTGGAAGAACTGGAAGAAACTGGAAGAAACTGGAAAAAACTGGAAAAAACTGGAAGGAATATATATTATTATTGTTGTTGTTGTTGTTGGTGGTGGTGGTGGTGGTGGTAGCGGTGGTGTTAAGAGTTCAAGTCCTAAAGAACAGGCCCTTAATCTTTATTTTTAGAATAACACAAAGTAATATTTTGGTTTTCACAATTCATCCACTACTCTCGCTGTCCGTAATAACACTGTATAATATCCTTGATCTCCGTTCTTTTTAATAATGTTATGTGAAAATTGGTATAGAGTATCAGGAGACTATATAAAAACATATACATAACTAGATATGACACAAATTTATTATTTTATCAAATAAATAACAAACATTATTCAACAAAATCGTTTGAGTTTGAAAAAGAGTAAATTGAACAAGGAATTCATTTCTAAAACTAAAAACTTTACATTTTTTTACTACTCTATCCGTCCCGAAATATTCTTCCCATTTTATTTTTTGGTCCGTCTGAAAATATTCTTCCCGTTTTCTTTTTTAGTATACTTTTAAAAATAAAATTCAATAATACCTTTTATTTCGGAAAGTATGTGTATTTTTTAAAATTTTACGTTTTTTTACTATTCCTTAATAAGCGTGACAAATCAACACGGGAAAAATATTTCCGGACGAAAGGAGTATTTTTTAAAAAACTTGTCAAATCTACTATGTACATGTGAAAAAAAATTCTTTTTTATAGAGAACATTCTTTTTAAAACTTTTAAAATTTTTGCCAAAATATTGGCCAAATTCTAGTAATATAACTTGTACGTGGCAAAATTTTGGCAAAGAACTTTTAAAATTTTCGCCAAATTCTACTACGGAGTATTTCCCAGCAATACTCCCTCTAAAATTTTGGCCAAAATATTTCAAAAATTTCACGGACCCTCCAAAAACCGATTCACACCTCATTCAATCAATTCATCCGCTCTACTCTGAACTTCAAACCCTACCTCCCGTCGCCTCCTCACTCAACCTTCTTCTCCGATTCACTTCCCTCTGCTATACTGGAGCCATAACCTACGGTCTTTGCCGACATTGGAGCCGGAAACCCTAAAATAAGGTAAGTCGTACACCTATAATCTGGTATTCCCTCCAACGATAGTCACCAAATTTGTTTTGATCTTTTTTGTCGAATTCTTCTTGGCCTCTTCTTTGCATGCGTCTACCTCGCTGCTCGGATCCCCCCAAAGAGGTCAGGGTTACATTTCTGAATCCATTGAAGTCACAATTCATTGGTTTGTTGTTATTATTTTTAATTTACTATCTGTAAAGGCTTGCTTCCAGAAAGGGTTGAACCAGAAAGGGTTCAACCAATTCCTTAATTCGTTGAATGTGACCTGAGAGCAGCAAAAATGAACAATTTTTTTTCTAAAGTCAACTCAATACTCCTTCCATCCTTTTTTAAATATATTTAAAAAAATATTAATCTTAATACGTTTTTTTATCACAATATTTTGGTACAGACATTTGTTGCTTGTGTAATGCTTGACATCAAATTTACTTTACTGTTTTAGTGTCCCTTATCACAAACTGTACTCCTGAAAATTCACCTAAATAAATGAATGTGATAACCCACCTACAAATTAAGGCAGAACCCAATTTTTCATTATGCGCAGCATTTATTCGATATATACCTTATTTTAGACTGAAATGTTTGATCTTCACTCACTTTCAGAATATGGCCAGCACTAAACAGAATGCGCAGGCTGGAGGTGCAATCCAAAAACCAATTCTCCGATCCTCTCCAAGGCACAAGAAACCTGAAGGTCTTTCAGACCGTAATGAACTACAATGTCATAGTTCCCCAAAACCCGAGCTCCGAAAATCTCCCAGGCTTAAAAGAAAAGATCGGCCGAGCACTTTGACAGTGGTGCAAGCATTGAGTGGCTCAAGGTCAAAGAATGTGCAAAGCCATTCTACTCCCTTGCCCGTCACCCCAAAGCCAAAGCCTATATTTGACAATGTACAAAAACAGATCAAGCAGAAGAGAAAGCGGGAAGAAGTCGAAAGTGAAAGTGTCGCCAAGCCTTCTGGGGGTGGGTTGAAACTCCGAAAACGTGGATGTGTTTCAATGCACCGCGTTGTGAAACGTAAGATAAATGGACAGAAACCAACGGTTCTGTTTAATGATAAGGGACAACCGTATGGCGTGGCTGCTGCAGAGATGCAATCTTATATTAGAGTATTGGCAAGGACAAAAGCTCCAATATGGTTTGACACTTGGAGGCAAGTTCCGGTAACCATCAAGAACAAGATTTGGAAATCTGTCACAGTAAATATAACCATACTAACACTTGACTAGTGCTTACAAAATAAATAACTTGATCATTAATTATATACCTGTGTTTTCCAACTGACTTAGTCTAGTAAATTCCAACAATGTTTATGCATATAGTTGGGGTTCGACCTACGCTTTTCTGCACAAAAACTTGTGCTGCAGTCGGCGAATTCGAAGTGGAAACAATTCAAGAGTACCCTGACATGTAAATATATTCTCCCCTTTCGAGATGAACCTGAGAGGCTGAGGACTCCACCAGAGGACTTATCTTTCTTGGAGAAGAATCATTGGGATATTTTTGTTGCTGATCGTCTAAGCCCTGAGTTCTTGGTAAGACTATGTTTCCATTGTACTTTATTTAAAATATTGTCCTTTTTTTGAATCATTGGGACTTCTCTTTTTGATGAACTGTCCTTTTTTTTTGCAGAAAGTCCATGATGAGCATGTGAAGAGAGTTAAGGAAAACAAATGTCCTCATCGCTTGTCCCGAAAAGGCTATGCAAACCTGGAACAGGAATGGGTTAGTACATTACTCACTAAATGAACATGCAGGCAAAAACATACAGTGGAGATGAGTCAGTCATTGATCGATCTATTACGTGGGTCCTTGCAAGGAAGGACAAAGAAGGAAATTTCAAGAGTGACTCTACAAAACAGAAGGCGGAGGAAATTGTAAGTTTTTAAATAATTTCTGAAAATGAGTAAGTTCTTGCACATAATGTTGCTGTATGTCTCTAATCCCAGAAGCCCTGTTGATATTCCTTTGATGCTTTAGTCTAATGTTAGAATTTTGAGTTCTATACATACCACGTCTGTTTTATTGATAGAATTCCGGTTCCTTTTCAGGAGTTCTTAAGGGAACAAGTATGTTCTGGTGTGCTTACTGAAGAAGGTGATGATGATGTATTGACCAAGGCTCTTGGGAAGCCCGAGCACGATGGAAGAGTTCGAGGTCAAGAAATGCATGTGAGGAAGGCTGTGTATTTCAATCTCCCGCGTTCAAAGAAGTAGAAGACACAAACAACGGTTGATGAGCAAGTGAAGGAGGGTGTGAGACAACTTTTGGCAGAGGAGGTGAATAACATTGTTGCTTCAAGAGATGCTTTTTGGATGGCTGAGATAGAGAAGTTGAAATCAGAGATCTGGAAGAAACAAGGAACTAGTCCCGCTGCCCCTTCCCAAGAGGCTAGCTGCTCACCTAAATTCAGGGAAGGTGGGCAGAATCAACAAGTGGTAAGGAAGAACCTTAATGACTCATTTGATGCAGACCTTGAACCACTTAGAGAGAATAATGACATTGATGATGAGTGTAATCATATACCGTCCGTGGCAATTTCTCATGATGATCATGCAAAGGTGGACAAGCTTGTGGGAGTTGGAGGACTTAAAGTAGAGAAGAATATAGAAAAAGATGTCTTAGCTGATGTTGATTTTGGGGAGAGCCAAATGGCACAGCTTGCTGTTGGTTCTGTGGACAATATTGTTGCACATGCAAAGGTGTATGGATTCTCCCGGATGGATGACCTCACCCTACATGGTGAAAAACTAGGTGAAGAATATGCAAAGGTGTCCATTACAGAAGCAATAAAAGGTTTGCATGAGCAAGTTATTAATATTTTGAATGTATTAGCTAATGATGAAATGCACACATTTTAGAAGTACTCATGTTTTTAATCTTTGATATTTGCCAGATGTTGACATTCCAGTCCCAATCCCCGGTGAAGTACTTACTGTTGAACAAGCCAAAGGAACTTTTGTAGCATGGCCTAAGGAGCTGATAGTCTTGGATGTGCTTCCTAAAGCAAAGGTTATTATATCTCTACTATTATGTCTACTTGATT